GGCCGCTGAGACTCGAGTGGTAGTGGGGGTCGCTCGCCGGAATCAGCCCGAAATGTGCATCTAGTGCCGAGCACTGGAATAGGAGATATGGTTGGAGCATGTTGGAGCTTGTTGGAGCTTGTTGGAGCTTGCGACGCGCACAAACCTATAGCGTTTTCGGCCCGATCGGATTTGCACCAACCTGGTTGGATTAATCTTTCCTATTGGTTAACGTTACGCGCTCTGCCAATAGGAGAGCACAAAACGCCATTAATCCAACCCAGCTTGGTGCAAACCCGACCGAATCGAAAACGCTAATAGCTATTGACTGTTTCCGGCCAAGGTGCTTGCGAGCCACATCACACATACGATTTGTTTATGGCCAAATCGCGGCCGGTTTGGCTGCGGGAGCCAATCAAAAAGAAGAAGCTTACTTGGATGTACACGCACCGGTAGGAATGGTGTCCCTCGGCGTTCGGCGCGCGACGCTACTTCTGCCAATGAAAAACGCTATAAAAATAATATTTTCGACATAGTTATTGGAGCTTTGTCGCGTCACATGCCCCAACATGTTCCAATATGCTCCTACTATAGTTCCTACTCACTCCAACGCGCTTGATAGACTGAGTAGAAGCTATGGTAGGAGCATGTTGAGCATGTTGGAGCTTGCGACGCGAACAAACCTTATGCGGGGTCTACAATAGAAGTCGTAGCGGTCGTAGGATCTTAGGTCGTAGAAAATTGACCAATCACAGTTGATTATTCTTCTCATATTCGACTGTGATTGGTCAATTTTCTACGACCTAAGACCATACGACCGCTACGACTTCTATTGTAGACCCCGCGTTAGAACACCATTGGAACACAACCCAGACCAAGCTGATACGCGTAACAAATGGTATCAAAGAATCTCAGCGTGCTGTAAACGCTTGGTTCGTTTTGGATCGTATATATTGAAATTCGCCACTGCTTTTAAATTCAGGTTAAAGCTAGAATTAGAGGTTTTATATATTGAAAAGCAGTGAAGAGAGACATCATGTTACCTAACCTGATCCGTTCTGAGACAGATCGGTGTAAATAAGGACGTATCAAATATTTAATCCGCATCAATTTGATAGGTGTACTAACCGATTTAATGGTGTATATATATAAAAGGCGTCATAGAGATTTCTCTTAAATACTCAGGTAAGAATTATTTGCACAACGTTTAGTATACACTATGTTGATTGCTTAAATATATACTCGTAATACTTCAGTTATATTTTTATTAACTAATATATTGACTAATTGTATGAATGTTGTACTATGTCAATATTGTTCATCTTTTTGTTATAGTACATAATCTGCAGCAAGAGAAACCATTGATAATTAAATCTGATAAAAAAATTATAATGGCACATCCTACAAGCGCTAGTTCCTCAATAACAAGATCTATAATTCCAAAGGTTTCAACTGTACAAATAATACCTAAAACGATGTCGCTTCTAATTAAACCCCAAACTCTTGCATATGCTTCTGTCATAACTTCTACGAGAGGCTCGACACAATATTTAACCACAAGTGTACCTTTGGATTCTTTACCAAATAAATCGGGTTCTTTCAGAATTCAGCCTCAGGCTATAACCTATGAAAGTCCTTCCATTACAGGCCCCATAACAAATTCTATGCAACATACGCCTACAATTGTGCCTTCATTGGATTCTTCGATTACAGATTCATCAGATGATGAAAAAAAGAATACTTCTGTTATTAACAAGGATGGCCATTTTATTTGGAACCATAAAACCATAATGTTGTTTTTCACAGAGTATGAACAGCATGAGAAAAAGTTGCAGAAAAAAAAATATCAAAGTAAAGAGGCTATGTTTCAAGCATTAGCAGAGTCATTTCAAAAAAAAGGTTACGTGAATGCTACCAAAAATCATATGAAAAATAAATTTAAACTGTTGAAGAAAAAATGGGACAAGTATATTCTACGGACTATGAGAAAAAACAGTTCTGGAAGAGGCATAAAACCTCTTTCATATGAAAAGTAAATTTTTAGTTTACTTTCTGTTTTCTGTATCTAAAGCCTGTAGCACATGTATTTTTTCCTGCTGGATTGCTCGTGTTTTAGTGAATTGCTAGAATTGCACCACACAGAATGCACAATTCCTAGTAATTTATTAAAACGCAAGTAATTCAGCAAAAAAATATGCACCGTGTGCCGCAGGCTTTATTGTAAATATAATATTTTTGAAATGAATACTTACAACAGTTTAATCAATTTACTTACTTAGTTTTCATTTTCCTTTTTTGTTATTTCCACAGTATCCTTGTGTATTTAATAATTAATGGAATTTGTTTTTATAGTGAAATGATAAGCATATTTGGAAAAAATCTCAGTGGAGTGCCACCTTATGTGACTGGCCGCAACGAAATTGTTTCTCAGAAAGTGATTTTGCAAAAAGTTGGTCAAACTTCGTCTGAGTAAGTAATAATTACCTCCTTAAGATATGTTTAAAATATATTTTTCAATCTGTGTTTTTTCGGATAAGTATTAATTAATGTGTTTTTGTTATAGGAATGAAAATGAAGAGCAATCATCTATCAAAGTACACTCACCACTTTCGATGCTATCAGCGATTAGCAGCAAATCACAATCAATGGCGAATAGCAACTGTTCATCTTTAATAAATACGAAAGCAAAAATACGAGATGGCAAATTGTCGTTTATTCTGCAATCAATCAGGGAATCTATTTGTAATATGCAACAAGAAGAAAGTGATGCCAAACAAGAAATATGCACAAAAATGTTGGTAGAGCTTCAAAAATGTAATGAACGCTTGAACGTAATGAATGAATTACAAAAAGAGCGAAATATCATATTGCAGAGGCAACTTCAGGTACTAGAGAGACTGGAAAAAAAAATGTACCTAACACAAAAAGAATTATCAGATGAAGAATTACAAGACTGAAAATATTACTATATAGATGTAAAGACATAAACGTAATTTATGTACATAGTTGTACATACATGATATAAGAAGAAAGAACAAGGTGTACCATTGCGCATAATGACGATAGCAATACTGAAAACAATTAATCAAATTTTGGCCTCTATGCACTTTCCTGCATATAATAACGCTGACATATTGAAATAGCCAATCAAATTTTGGCCACAATTCACTCTCCTACTGCGCATTCTCGCAACTACACCTTATCCTCTTACATCATGGTTACATATAAAGTTTATGATAATGTAAATTTTGTTTAAAGTTTTTATTTGACATTTAAATCACTTTCAATTTATCAAATTTTCATTTAGATATTTATTTCCGTAATTTTTTTTATGGACAATATGGCATTTTATGGCAAGGCTTTGTGTTAAGCTTCGTAAAAGCAAAACTTTTTTTTTACATAATGAAAAGCATTATTGCTTATTAGAATGTTGCAAAAAGTATTTAAATATTATGTAATTGATACTTTTGAAGCATTGTACATACATGTACTATTAATCACAATTAAAACGAAATATTTGATAAATAAATGTTTGAACATAACATTAATACCCATAGTCAGACCTTATATTCGTAAAGCTTCCTTAAATTTATCTTCAGATGCTCCATGAATTATTTTGTTGACTATTGAGCATCTAAAGATAAAGGATCTAGTAGAATAAGTACGGTAAAAATGTCCCTATGGCTTTTAGAGTTGACCTTTTTTTCTAAGGTTACTCATATAAAAAGACTCATATAAAAGTTTACATATCAAATTTTAAGTTTCTATATGGATACCTGATCAAGTTAGAGCGAAAAAACGATTCTTTATAAATTTACGAATTTAATTTAGTAAAAATTCAAATAAAATTCTGAAAAAATTCTGAAAAATTGATTACTCCAAAACACTAATGGGGATTTTTTAAACATTTTTTTCACCTCGATTCCGTTGATTGACCACCTTAAAAAAAATTTCATGTCAATTTCTGTTCAACTGTCTAGAAAATATTTTTTTTTTTAGATTTTTTCAAAAGGTGGGCCACATTGAGAAAAATTAAATTATATTTCTTGGTTAATTTGATGAAATAATGAGCAACACAAACTGTCTTTATCAGCTCTCTAATATTTTATTTATCTATAAAATTCTCTTTCTCTCCATATTAAAATATTTTGATGAACACAAGTTGAAAGTGACATCCTTATTTTTCAATCATTGGGTCGAAAGGTAGTTATTTTTATTTAATTAATTACGAATTATATTTATACATGTACGTTAGACTATCGTTTTTAAAAAATAAGGGGGAGAGTATTATAATTAGATCAACTTGCTTCACACCGCCGATGAAGGGTTCTGTGATACCTGAAACATTCGGTTTTACATTTAATGTTAAAGTGAATTTATTTTGAACAAATTAGAATTTTTGCTCGTTCACAATTATTGGCCTTTTATTAATTATTATAATTACATTTATATTCTGACAGTTGTCACATATTATACTAATATATCGTACAGGGTGGCCCATGTAATAAAGTGTTACAAGCTAATAACTCTAAAAATATTTGTTCTATCAAAAAGTTGTTCATGAGAAAGTTTCATATATTCGAGGGGCATTTCTAATTACGTAAACAAAAATCCACCTCCGTCCCCCCTTGAAGAGGAGCGGAGGGTAACTTTAAAGTTTCAAATGGGACCCCCTGTAAAATGTTATATATTTGGATTCTACGGAGAAAAACAAGTAAACTTTGTCTGAAACATTTCTTTGGAAAATGCTCCTATCAAAAGTTATGAACATTTAAACTTTTAGTCGGGTTTTTTATATTTTCAATATGTTGTGAGTGCTGGACTATTTGTAGACCACGCATTATGCGTGGTCTACAATGGCAATATCAGTAATGCGTCGTCTACAATATGCGAAGTAAGCTTGGTTTAAGAAGTAAGAGTAAGAAATTGACCAATCACAGTCAATAATTCTTCTTACATTCAACTGTAATTGGTCAATTTGTTACTCTTATGCGGGGTCTACAATAGAAGTCATAGCGGTCGTAGGGTCTTAAGTCATAGAAAATTGACCAATCACAGTTGATTATTCTTCTCATATT